ATACCTACCCATTAGTTTGAATGATGTCTTACTAAAAGAAACCGAGAAAAGCTCGACTAGATTATAAGTCACACCGTGCGTGTCGCGGGAAACATCGCGGTCATCAGCCGATTGCTTTCAATTCACGCTTCTGCTTAACCTTATATAACTTAACATATATAATACTAATATATACTAATATATTAATTTGCGTCCATCGCATTTATTATCAAATATAGGTATACTATAGGTTCTATTAAGTTAGTTTTTGAAATCTGATCCAACAGACAAACTGTGTATACAGTTTTGTTGGACATTTTATACTTTTTATAATGTAAAATGTACCTTTTAAGCAAAATAAATAATAAATAACCTTTCAATCGTAGTTATATGAGACACGATAGAAGGACAATAGATGCGCGAACGCCTTCGCTTGGGGTTTGATGAATTAATCACGAGTAAGTAGTCATTTTAATTAAAACAAATTGATTAATTCATTTTTATTTCGTTCATTGTTTTCAGGGACAAATATAACAAAAGAAGCGTACACACTACATATGTATAATTATGTACATACTACATATGTATAATAGAGCTTGCGTTCTATACTCCTACTTACGTGTTTATACTTCTCAAACATGTTTTAGTCTTGTATAAAGTAGGCGAATAATAAAGACACTAAGTTTTAAGTTACTCAATTTTAGGCGAGCTGTGTAGTTGTGTTACGTAGTTGCGTGTCTGGACTGACGTAGAGGGAATGAAAAGGGATATGGCCTTAAAGATTATCCTAGAGCAAGGGTAGTGATAAATTATAAAAAAATATTAATTTCATATTGGTCGACCGCTTGAATAAGCTGGTTTTTGCCGGGCTTTAATCGTTATGTATACGTTATGTATGTGTGGTATAATGAAAAGCTTATAAATTGTTTTATGGTAACACAAGCGACAGTTACGATGTTTGGACGTTTGTTACTCAATCACGCCAAAACGGCTGGACAGATCTAACTGAAATTTAGCGCAAGCATAGGATACACTCCGGAATAGGACATAGGCTTCTTTTTATTAACATACAACGCGGGCGAAGCCGCTAGCGGAAGCTAGTTTGTACATATAATAATAATAATAAGCGTCCATGGCAAGTCGTCAAGAAAATTCTCGTTAAATTAATTAAAAACTCAGAAAACTGAAACGTGATCGCTCGCTACCGCTGAACAAAAGTTATCTCTAGATCTATATCGAGTCGCATTCATCCACTCAATCAACTGACGGTCAATCAAGCTGCTATGCCAACGTGCTGCGAAGTCCATTTCCATTGATTGGAGAACAATACCACAACAATATCAAAATAAAAAAAAGTAAATCAATGCAACAGTATTTTTTAAGGTCGGCAAACGAGCAACACGGATTACCTGATGGTAAGCAATCGGGGAAGCCTACGGACACTCGTAATGTTCTAAAAGGGTTACACAAGTGCGCTGCCGGCTTCTTGTGGGTTGTTAGAGATTTAAGGACAGGAGATTGGAGGATTGAGGATTGGGTGTGGGGGAAAATCGGGCATCCAGTAGCCTAACTCACGCGAAAGGCCGTAGTATCGCTCCGGTCGAGCCGACCCATTCGCGCTGAAGCTTGACTCTCGCACGTTTCCTCTCTCTACAGTATAGTCTCCTGTACTATTTCAGTCTGAGGGCACAGTTATTTCTAGAACATTCGATGTGAAGCAATATGTACAATATATACGTACACGTAAATAAAGGAAATGTAATCAGAAAGAAAATTGAAAATACAGCAGTAGTAAAACCATAAAAAGGAAATAAGTTCCACGTCTTGGTGCATTGCTTTTCTCATACAAACTGGGACTTGTAGTTGCTACTTGAAAGGATTCTTTAATTTATCGCTAGGAGTCAGACGGATCGCTTCACAGTCGTGCCGTATCGTGATGGGTTCCATAAACTTTACTAACAATGAAACTAGTTCGGACTCCTTCATTAAGTGGGGTTATTGATTGAAGTGTCATAACTAAGGTCTATTAAAACGTCGTAAATGTTATCTCATTAGGTCGAAAGTTGTGTAGTCAATTAACAACACATTCCCCCTTATTATAAAACAAGATTTTGTATCTTATTTTCACCTACCTTCAGTTTGGCTGGCTCAATGTTTTAGGCCTAGTACAAAGAAAAAGCTTGTTTTGTAATAAGGCCGATTGTGTTTATTATAACCTAGAGAGAGTATAGAAGAATACCAGGTTCGCGAACGCCGGCGTCCGCTTGATTGGCTATAAGGTGTTTGTTAGTTTGACATTATCCATGGAATAGTACCGTAACTTTGGATGTTGGTAAGTCTATGAGACTTGCCTTCAGCCACTCAGCTAGTTCGTGAATTTCTGACGTTGAACTGAAGCGTGTTCGTAAATGTAGAGAACAACTTAGTTCAAATACTGACACATCTGTTGAATATTAGTGTACAATAGTTGCGACTAATTAATTGATGTTGCAATACCTTTGATGCTTGATACAAAGCGCCTGTTTCACTATCTTTGTATGCATGATACATATGTAGTTCTGAATTCAAATGTTTCTGGTACATAAAGACTTTTTAGAAATTTTTCATCGGTTTGGATATTAGAAAGAACGGGGCGTTTTTAGTGCGTAAGAGTTTGATACTCCCTCTCCTCAGAGGAAGACGAAAAAAGAGAAGTAATAAGTATGATGATCCTCAAAGAAAAAAGACTTTTCCATCAGACATATGTCTTGGGGCCTGCTTCCTTAATGATGTAATAGACAATTGTCAATGTAAATCTAGTGAACACTCATATATATGGTTTACTTACCATCGTATCGCTCAAAAATAGCATAAAAACCTTAAATCCGCTAAATAATACATGTGAATAAATTCAATATGCCCTAGATCCTAAAAATTTGGGAGGATAATAGCATTAGGAAAAACAGTTTCGTAGCGCTTAGGTAAGTGGAATTGTAGACACCTACTTACCTCTTGCCTGGTTTGCGGGTGCAAGTGCAACACGGTAACGCAATCTCAGCCCAGAGCAGGAGACAAAACGGGGTGGTTTTTAGCCAGAGCGAGAAAAGACTTTTGATGATTTTATGCCATCGAAAAAAAAGAGATCACTTCATCACATCATCAGCCTATAAGAGCCCACTGCTAAGCAAAAGCCTCTTGTGACACAGAGAAGATTTGACCATTTATTACCACGCTTGCTCAAGGATAATTGGTGATTTCAAAAGGTCCAAGTTAGACAATAGCGTCTAAATAATCATAGAAAGTAGGTACTTATAACTTGGAAAAAGTCACATTGGTTGCCCTCATGCATGAGGAGCGGGCTCCCTAATCTCCGAGCCACCAAAACGATAAAAAAAAGCTACCTTTTAATGCCCTTTTTTATTCAGGGGAAAATCATCAAATGGCTTCTCCCGCCTAGGGTAAGGCGAGATAGAGTGTCAGACTCTTGCTGACTAAAACCTCCCCCTTCCTTCTCCTACCCTGGGCCGAGACCGCGGTGACTCACTGCACTTAACCCGCAGATCCGGCTGCACCTCTTATTGCCCTGTCACTTATTTATAATTAAAACAAATAATTAATTTATTTTTAGAGTTTATTAAAGCAAGGAACACAAGTGTTAATAGTACGTACAGCATCGTTATGTTTTTGAATGGATCAGTCCCAGAATGCGGTGGGTTTGTATCAGCGGATTATAAGTTACACATTTAGATATGTGGAGTGGGTACATTGATATCAACATTAATATATTCTTAAACTTCTATAGGAGTTGTATAACGTCGATGACACATAATAAATAATACAGATAGGTCAGTAAAGCAGAATGATTTAGTTTTAGTCAGACACGTTACTAAGCAAGTAACGGTATGGTTTCTGTTTCAAAACATACAATTGTTGTGTGGATATCATCATTTGAATCTCAAATATCATCTCATCTTCCACTTCCAACAGTGGAAAGTAGAATTTTATAAAAAGTTTTTGTATAATAATGATTTTATATAAAAAAAGCCGATCTTCGCTGGCACATGACTTTTTCATGAGCAATAAGTTCCAAAATATATAGATATATAGATTTTGAATGTAAAATATGTCGTCTTTGAGTAGCCTATTTTAAATAATTGACTCTTGGTATGGTCTTGTTTGGCCAAAGGATCATAAATACTCATTTATAAATTGTATATGAAGGTTTTCAAACGTATCAAAAACAGCAGGATACGGTGGCACGCATCGTATGTTTAGATTAACATCGACGCGGTAACACGCTGCACAGGTATAAAGTTTAAAATACATGTATCTTATGTAGACGTTACAAGCTCAGCGATATGGTTAGGGTAGCACTGGATATGACTTTTCGAGGTTTTATTAAGAGCGGAGTGGGTATCCATCGATCACAATTTCTACTAGAATATGTTCGTAAGTACACAGGAGCGCAGAAAGTTTACAACATCATCATATACGTATGGTTTTCTTATATTATTAATTATACGGTCACACATTTATTTATTTAAAATTAAGAATTGAATTATATCTAGGTTCTGTGGCCTGCTGGATCCCCGAGATTTGCTGCCGTCCGGTTCCTTCGTTCTAGAGAGTGCGCCCTATCGTGCGCCGGTAGACTGCCTGGTACATTATAACTTGGATCCCTTCTCATAAGTACATTCATAAATATAATAAATCTGCCACGTCCTCCTCTCCTACACACGAATCATTCTCCTCTTTTAATACAAGTCTGTCTCATATAACTTTAACATTCCTTTATACTAATTGTTACATGTATAAAGTAGGTATATAATATTCATTTGCTAATTTAAAACATCAATACATCATCTATTACAATAATATACTTGTATACACAGTGTACATACGTCACGTATAGTTATAAAATATAATTAACTCTAACGATGAAAAATCAGTCGTCGAAGACAATGCATTCCATACATTATATAATATATTTAAATTATACATAAATATACTCTTTAATTAATAGGTGCGACGGTAATAAAAAGCTCGTTCAAAATGCATAAAGTTGTAAGTATCAAATTTTGTAGAATATTCATAATGCTACTGTCAATTCAATGTCATGTGAAATATGGAATGTAATAAAAATATTTAATTAAACGAGAAAATTATAATTGAGTGGCTTTACTGAATTCCACTGTATAGTCGCAATCTAACATACAGGTGTGCATCAATGGATCATTGTGAATCCACATCAAGCAGATATAACGCTGCAACACATTTAAACATCGACATCGAGGGATTAATATAAATAAGTACTCCTCGGAAACACAGACCAACACGGATTTGATAATGTTAATTACACGCTAAACATTTATATATTCTGACGGTCAAATACTATTGAGAGACACGTTAATATGAGTAAATTGAATTACGACTATTTTTTTCATATATATTATCATTTACGTTTGACTTGCTACTGTATTAATAAACAACTAACACCGTTATATAATATTTGGATTGGAAAGTGCCGAACAGTGAAGTCCATGTAAGATATGTAGCCAGGTGGAGAGCGCGAAGTATGAAATTGTTAACAACGAGCCTTAAAGTACTTGGTCGGGAACTTCTAATAGAGATTAACAACTAGGGACATAAGCTCCGAGGGTGCGTACTAACTCTATACACATATAAAATGCATTGAAATTACACATAGACAATATTTTATACATATACATGTTCTCTCATGAGTCAAAGGATTACAGTCTTTGTAGTATTTCATACGTTAATACTGATGACTTTTATACACCTTAATCATAATAAATAGGTTTGTCGTAATCAACTAAAAATTCATTTAAAAAATATCGAATTCATTTTTGTTTCTTTGTAAATTTTGTAAATATTGTCAACATTATAATGGACGTTGTGCGTAAATATAAATAAAGAAATAAGTATAAGTACTTAGAAACAGATATTTTGAAAGTTGACAGAGAACTTACTGTTCAGCGAATCTTAGCTTTTGTTTCTTCACGAAGTCAATGGCCAGTTTATCGGTGGTGCGTGACTCCAGTATTTGTAAGATGGGATGATCTGAAAACAAGACTTGCGTTAAGTTTTCTACGGAAAATATTAGTATATTAATATTATTCTTCTCTCTGAGATACCAATCGAGTACGTATTTATTGTGTACCTTATTGTAGACAACTTGTTAGGCAAACAAGTGCAGCATCTGTTCTCTCACTCTGTAATCTACGAGACAATCTGTTCGACACGTTCGGGCATCGGTTTACGTGCTTCAAGAGGCGTAGTGTAAATGTTATTACAAAATGTTAAAACTCTAACCTACATATATACTGTGACAACTTTGTCATGTTCAATGCTACTCGACCGAAAAACTTTCCCGAAATATATCTGTCACCACAATATTTAGGACCGTGATTGCTTTCAAATTATAATAAAGTAATTGAACTTAATATGTTATGAAGAAGCTCCGGTATAATGTTATAAGTAAACTTCAAAGACATACTCTAAACGACCATGGCAATACTTAGAAAATCTTTATTGAATTTGTTAATTACGTTATAGAGTATTCTGAATACGTTGCTACTGGTATTCTGAGGAAACGTTTATTACTTGCTAATTAAATTTCAATAGGGCTTCCTTTAAGACATATTTTTGAAACATTCCGAATGTTCAGAAGTTTTGTCTACGAATATCTTTGTTCGTAGTATTGACGTATCTAGGTTTAATTAAGAAATTGGTGAGAATTTGATACAAAGTTGTATAATTCTACTTATTCATCATCGTCATCTTCGATAAATTATGCACTATCTGAAGTTTAAAAGCGTTGCATTATTATCTGTCATAAGTTGCAAATAATGTTCACGAGTGTCGACTTGTAACTGTCTAAAGTAGCTTGTACCTCATCAAATAAAGAAGGCTTGGTGATGTGATTTCCACATTCAAATAAGAACCTAAGACATACGAAGAAGTTCTCTATTTACTGAAACTTTTATCATGTCGGGCAAAATGACGTTCCTAAATCTTACAATATACATACACGTTTCGTTACCAATAAAACATTAATTATGTTATGTAATATATATAAAATTTATTAGGTACTGACTGCGGTCGTGCAGCTGCATGAGCGGCAGTTCTAGTGGCCGCAGCGGGTCCGGTGCAGCGTGGTTGTTGACCCCGGGTATACGGGCCAGCGACACAAAGGCCTCGCCAGCGAAGTCATCAGCTGTCAGCACATCACGGTCCCATACTGACAGGGCCAGCGCCGCGCCTGGGCAGCGGCACGCGTCCAGGGACACCGCGAACTCGAAGCATTCGTCCCAAACAGGGTTCAATGTTTTCTGCACATATACAGTTGAATCAGTGGATCTCCAATGCAGTACTTAGCTTTAAACAGATTGAAGGTTATTTTTTTAATCTTTGCTCTACACTACGACTTTCTCTTGTGTCGTGGGTGCGGCTAGAAACATACAAATTCACGTACACATGAAACCCAGAACCAAAACAACAATTTGTGGACGACACAAAGTGTTGTTCCGTGCGGGAATCGAACCCTCTACACCAACCATGCAGTCAAACTCTGCAGTCATAAAAAAAAGTGCAGCCAAAAAATTTTTTTTTCTAGTTTCGAAAATACCCTTAAACATTCTATGTTAACTGAAATAAACTTTGGGTGACTTTCGGCTCCAACTTCTTCCATCATACGACTAATAAAAACTTACTAAATGCGAGAATAAAAATAAGACACATTATATATCTTATATATATACATCATTATAATACCTGTGCAATTTAACGTTTCAACTACCAGGTTGATCTTTGCAAAGTTTGCTACCATTGTATGCAAGCTCTAGGCAGATAATAAGACTCGACGATATACGAATATAATTGCATTTTCTTCTCAAGAGAAATCTAAGGAACGTTCCAAGAATAACTTGATCTTTGAATTGGATTTCTGTGAAATGCCATATCTAACTTAGTACTTACGTATTATTAAGATTGTATTTTTTAATATTACCTTTTGCACGTTGGTGACTTGTTCGTGAGCTTTCGGGAAGAGTCGTTTGGGCACCAACTCGACCACAACGAATGGATCGCTTAAGCCGTTCGGGTCGAGCGGAATCACGTCGCGCGCCGACAACACCTCCACGCACAGCGAATCATGATTGAAGTATACACTAAGAAGGTATGAATACTTTTTTAGACACCAAAAAGACACGAACACTTAAAATATTTACTCTTTGGATATCTATTCTTATGGAAATTTGTAGGCTGTTTAATTACAAGGTGAGCCTATCAAGTGGGCGTAGATGATCGGTTCAAGATCTGGTATAATCAACAACAAAATACATTTTAGGTAATTTCGTTTCTTTGTTAGTTTTGAACACTTTGTTACTGAAACTAACTAAACTTTATTCTGTTTATATTACATTTAATTGTATTTAACTGTGTGTCAAATACTGAGTGCCAAATGAAAATAAATGTCATATTTATTATATGACATACAAATAAATAAAAGAATGATAAAATTGAACACGAATAAATCGGTAAATGCAAATAAGTTTGTTCAAGATTCATAGCTGTAAAAATCTGTTTCGAAAGAGTTATTAATTTGAAGATGTAAAAGAGATAGTTGAGATATGATTTGTGACATAACTTAAACGTATCTAAAATAAAATATCGTCACATTCTCGGTTCGTCTTCATTCTAAAATGACACTCGTACACGCAATTTGTCGTCGTAATTATGAAGCTTACTTTTATAAATGTTTTTGAATAAATTACTCAGATTTTAAAGTTTAATATTACAAGTAGAAAACGATTTATTTTGTTGTTTTTAAATAAGCATATAAATTCTATAAAATCTGTAAAACACACAAATTACGAAGAATTCACAAAATAACATTAATTTAAATTCAGAACGTGAAAGTGATAGGTACCACAAAATGCAGTCTTTTAAAATAATTATATTTTGTCTGTGGAATGCAAAATATTATTTTCGTAGAGATGCTTCTTTTAGATACGCTATAAATGTGTTCTTTTTTCAAACCAAAATGGGTTAAATTTTTGTTTAATAATTTTGCCCACTAAATTTCACATAGCTAAGACATTCGAAGAGCGGAATATAAAAAAATACCACAAGAACTCCATTACACTAAGCAATAACTTTAACAATATCTGTAAACATGATAATAACTATGTTTGTCTTAGAGAAAGTGTTAGCACAAACAGAAAAACTTGTTTTGTTACAAACCCTAAAGTAATAAAAGAAAAGCTAGAAAAACACTAGTCTACCACGGCTCAGTAGATCGTCAAACTTGTGTGTATTCGGTGAAATGTACTCAGTCCAAATTACTAACACGACAAAAAGCGATGGAGGGTAGCTTTATATAAAAAATACCCCAAATTTTATAGATAAAAAGTAGTAAAAACTGTTTGTCACACACACACACGCACACAAAGTTGTATCAAATATCGGAAACAGTATTTTTTTTTATGTTTTATAAGTATATTCAAGCGCACTCACCGAACAAGTATAGAGCCGTATCGTGAGGGCAGCGGTGTACGCGATTGTTCGGCCAGCCTATCAGCGAGCCACAGTTCCAATAGTTTCTCGGTGGGCGCCTGGTGGTACTCCATCCTTTGTTCCACGCGGAACCATTCCGTATTGTGCACCTCCGACATCGGGAGACCTAAAATAGATATCGATTAACCATTGTTTACTAACTAAGCCTCTTACGACCTCGTCCAGAGAATTCGTAACTCATCGCGCTAACTTCGTCAACATTTCAGCTATAATATATTTACTTACTATATACTCATTTATTTTACTGTGCACAATATTCTATTTTTAAAGTTCCTCTTTGCGTGTTTAAAGTAATTTAGAAGAAAAAGTTATCGTTCCAAAATTCAATTCTAATAAAAAAAATATTAAAAATTTTCTGAATTGTATTTTTTATTTAGGTATGGTTGAAACTTATTTGTTGCAAACCTTTTCCTTCAGCATGGAAGAAGTCCGCTAAGAGATCGAGTGCCTCCCTGAGCCTGTGATGGTAGACACGCGGTCGCTCAGCTCCACCCGCATCGGCTTGAGAAGACACTTCCTTGAGGACGCCACTCCAGCATCCACCCAGAGCGCGAATGAATGCGCGGGGCAGAAGCCAGGTATTCAGCGAGGATAAATGCTGATCCAAAAACTCCAGAAGTGGAGTTATTGCCTAATACAAAATCAATATTTTAAGGCAATTGTCATTACCTATTCTGTTGGAATCAAACCGAATTTTAGAATTGCAGTGTGCATTGTGCAACACTATAAATTATATTAGAAATACGAAAAAAATGATTTCTTTAATGAATAACTCTTTTAATGTTATCTAAAATCAGGCGAAGTTTCGCTGTTAACTAATTCTTGCAAGATTAATGTTTAAGCTACCTGTGTAGTAGGCAAAGTGTCAGGCGACCATGCGAGATGGAACACAGCTTTCCTGAGATGCGGGCGCGCACGCGCAGATAGAGGCGCGGCCGCACGTGCCGCCCGCGCGTCTAGTGTGCCGATGGCACCGCGCACCAACTGACGAGCATTCTCGTCATTTGCACTACAATGTTATAATTTGTTAATATTTTGTTTCACATACATTTCACAGCATCCTGTACAATTTATTCATCGGTACAGGTGTAAAATGTTATAAATTTAATATCATTTCAGGATATACAAATACATTATGTCAGAACAAATGACACATAACAATAAATTCAATGTTTCATGTTTAATAATCCGAACGAAATGTTCATTTAACACGTATGATTACATTATGACATGCATCTGAAATTGTAATTGGAATGTCGGCACACTAATTGAAACGCAAACATCGAGTATTAATGCAAAACCACAATTCACGGGATAAATTGTCAGGTACCGAATGTTGATCGTAATGTGCCAAGTTTCGATTGAGTTCCAACTCGAACTGAGATAAGTAGTTCTCAAGTTGTATTAGTTTTAATTAAGATTTATTACCGACTGCGTGATAAGTATTTACATTACAAGTTGAAAGGTACGCTTGCCGATGTACCAGCTCGTAAAATATAAAAGATTCTGAAGCAGTTCATTCGGGACAAGTTCGGCCATTAACACGAGATGGCTATATCCGAGGGCGATTTGTTCTTAAGGACCACTAAAACTTCGGAATGGCCGTGTGGTGCGCGAACTGAAGGTTTTGCGTACAAACAAATGTTCAGGAGCTTACCAAAGGCCATTAAGTTACAATAACAACATTAACAAACAATTTGTATCAAGTTTACGAGCCATCGCCAAGCGATACTCTTCATCTGTTAAAGCGCTCGTTTGTTGTTCGCGATAAAATGCACTTTAGTGTGACATGATAAGGTTGAATAAACAACATCTTCGACAAGTAAAGATGACGCTGTTAATATTTTCAGGTTGGATGAAGTCGCTGTGCAGCAGAGCGTTTAATGTTCTATCAATCGCTGCATGACAATTTCTGTAACTTATCCCAGGGAAAATGTATGCCGATATAAGCTTTAAACTAGTGCACCTAAGACGTATATTTGTTTGTGTGGAATTTATGAAGTTTGTGCTTCACGAGTGTGGAACGCGCAATATTCACGGTCCAAAGATTAGCTCGCACTTACATGTGTTCGTCGTCGTACTCGGCGAGAGAGCGCCGCACATATTCCAAGTTGTTCACGATCGTGCATATCTCCTCTGTCGTTTTGTTTTGACCTGTGATAATACAATTTTTAAGTCAACTTGTTCTCGAACAGGATAAATAAAACAGTAAATAAATATCTAAATAGAATAAAAACCTTTGGACACTGTTTAAATACCTACGACTAGACAATACGACGTCAAATTTTAATACATCGGTACACAAAAGCACAAATATTTGTAATACCTATGTCAATTACGTTCATATTGTGTGTTTGTGACAATTTATCGAGTGTCATATTTGTTCAGGCGTATTTTGTTCCATCAACGATTGGAAGTAAGTGGGGCATTCGTTGAAACTCATTTAGCATACGTTTGTCCCGTCGGCATTACAATAATATACCTAACTGTTGGATTTATTCTAATTTTGTTTGCCTTTCTATATTATAAGTATATCTTTAGATTCCATATTTTCTTTCCATCCACACGCATGAAGCGATTTGAATTAAACTTATTATCAGAACGCTAAGGAGTGGACTTCTTTGGCCGTCGGCGTATGGGTTCCCCGAAAGGCCCGAGTGAATAGTTTGCTTATGGGTAGTCGTGCTCCATCGTAGGTCGCATCATTGCTTACCATGAGGCGATATATTGGCCAAAACACAACCTTTAAAAACTCTTTTTCAAACAAGTAATCATTCATCAATAGGACTTCATGTAGACAAGGAAAAAAGACAAATCGATAAGGTAAATTTAATTGCAGGAATTTTAATGTTAATTTAAGTGTTACCATGGTTCTCATAGTAGCCCTGATCAGCGAGTGCTCCATGCACAAGGTCGGCGTAGTGCAGGGCGGTTGCGCAGGCGGCTTCTAGCAGACGCACACTTCCACCTGACGTGCACTCTTCAGCACCACCCACTGAGCGCCATACCAAGCGCATGTGGTACAGGCTGCGCCAAAAAAATAAGAAATTATATACAGACTATTACATTAAAACAAGTGTGGGAGAGCCATGTTTCAGCACGAATTGGTCGGCTCGACCTGAGAGATACCACGGCCTCACAGAAAAACGGCGTGAAACAACAACGTTGTATTTCGCCGTGTGAGTGAGGTTACTGGAGGCCCAATCCTTCCTTTCCCACAATCCCTTACCAATCCCTAAATCTCCTAATCCCGAATCTCTGTAGCGGATTGCTTACCATCAAGTGATCCGTAAGCTCATTTGACGAAAAAAATAACTGATTTACTATTTTAATAGGTATCTTATACCTCGATTAATCAATTCTTTACCTACTGGTATACGTAATGCCATCACACCAAAAATAACAATAAACATAAATTAAAAATACATTTCTTCTTAAACCTGTAACACAGAACTTTGTCGAATGTATTCTAAATAGTGGGAAAGCAGAAAATATCCGGGAGTGTTGATTGCCATGATTCATTGTTTTGTTACTATAACTTATTGTGTGAGACGATTAGAATTGTTAAGAGAAGAACACACAAACCTGAGAGATTTAAGTGATACTGAATTAAATAAAAGCATGTAAATCTTATTTTTGACAATAAATACTTACCTATATAACCTAAAAGAAAATGATTACGCGTTTATTCATTGTCTGTCGTTATTCCAAATTCAAACCATGGACGTATATTTCAATACCGTACAACTTGCAATAGTAAGTACAAGACCTCGATAATATATCAAACTTCAATTTAAACTAATAGAGCCGAGATTGCACTTAAAATAAGGTGGTAAAAACCGATGCAGTCTTGGTAAAATTATGCTTGCAATAATTAGCGTACCAAATAGTGGGGCATGATTATATGAGAATTAGAAATGTCTTTTTATTTTTCGGTGGGTAGTGTATAAAAGATTTTTTTAGTAGACAATATTATATAAATAGGTACCACCATACAATCCCTTATACTAAGTCATAATGAAACGTTTAATATAATATAAATATAACTAAATGATTAACGGGTATTATTTACCTACCGACTTTAAAAATAAAAATACGTATATAAAAACGAAAAGCTACGAAAGTCCGTAACACGGTTCACATCGTGCACAAAAAGCTTATTTAAACAAGGGCCACGGACAGGCCTGTTCATTTTTAGCCAGATAACAGTGACAAAGTTAAATATGTGCCGGTAAAACTCGACTTTAAATATAAAATACACAAGTACATCACCTACCTACACGTACACAGTAAAGTAAATAGTAAATTCTACTCAGTTTATTATATTCTGTTATTTTCTTATGTAGAGAAAATGTTCCGTATTTCCTTAGAAATCTAAAATTACCCGTTGAGAGCACTAAAGTATGAGAAATAAGCTTAGCAGCAGGGCTTATATACAATTTCCTGGTATTTTTCTCTTAGTTCTACTAATACGCGTTTGTATAGCGAAATTATTTATTATAAATATATTATGCTCAGTAATGTTTACAGCAATAAATAATTCCTATTCTCATGAGTAGTTTTATTTACATCGTGTATTTTTTTTTTTTGTGAAAATCGCCTAATGAATTCTCGCACCATGGAAGGGCTGAGCGGGAGTGTCAGATTCTTACTGCCTGACTAAAAACCAACCCGTTTTTGTTCCTGCTCTAGGCCAAGGCCGCCGTACATAATTGCGTTTACATCCGCAACCCTGGTTAGTTTACACTGTATGTGAATATGAAATTATATTTTCTTTAAAAATTTGCTATGATTGAGCTCCCCAATTTATGTTTAACCTTTTTTGTCCACAAATTCTCATGTTAGTAGTAGCGCCACGGTTCCGCACAGCATTTTATTTTATAAATAGCAGGACTTAATTATTCTCAGACAGAATGACGTCCGAATAAATCAATTTAGTCCCTAAATTTCTTTTAGTACTACCCTTGTCATGTTTAGTACGAGTAGGTAAGGCAATGAGACGTCCGATGGTTATTGGTAAAAAATATTGGTGTTAAAAGCCAATAAGGTAGGTAATACGTATTGAATACCTAACCCTTAACAGTGTGCGTGATCTGAAATTTGAAGGGCGAAATCTGGTGTGTGATACACGGATAAAATGATATATACAGGCAGACGAAGTGACAGGGATCGGTGGTAATATACCTACCTACCAACTTAATATCAATACTTTTATGAAGCTGTGTCAGACCGAGTCATGAATTATAAGAAGTTAGATGCGGGTTCGTCTCCAAACTATCTGTATCAAAATGTTTATTATGAAACTATAATAATATCATTATGAGTAAACACTAACTAAATACTGCGAAATTCTAGAAGCATTAACATTATTCCCTCGGGGCTACATGGATGACCTACAAAGAGAGGGCGAGACGTCCTAGCAGTGGGGACGTTCAGAGTCAGATCACAATAAGTGTATTTTTTTATGCAATAGGTCGGTAAACGAGCAGGCGGATTACCTGATGGTAAGCAATCAGCGCCGCCCATGGACACTCGCAACGGAGGAGTTACGAGTGCGTTGCCGACCTTTTAGGGATTAGGCATTTGGAGATTAAGGGATTGAGGAGGGATTGGGGGAGGGGAAGGATTGGGCCTTCGGTAACGTCACTCACACGGCGAAACACAACGCTGTGGTTATTTCACGCCGGTTTTCTGTGAGGCCGTGGTATCACTCCGGTCGAGCCGACCCATGCGTGCCGAAGCATGGCTCTCCCACACTTATAGGTACTTATATATACTCTATCTTCACAACTTCACACTCACCAAGCCGCAGTGTCCACAGAAGAGGTGCTGTGTTTCACAAGATGTTCCCCCTCCACCGGCCGATCTGCAAATAAATTCTGCATTACAAAGTGAACGACGTCTCCAAACAACTTTATTTTATAAGCTATATAATATTCTACTACTTCTATCAGATCTATATGCGAATATCAACATGAATATTATCACAGTGGTATCTTTACTTTTATGCTTCGGTGTGATTCAATAACATGAGATGTTACCGTTCAACACATACTTAACAGAATGTTTGTAAGCAAAAAATCACAAATGAGTTCCTAAGCACAAATGAGGCATGAAGTCGAAACTTTTTCAATAAAGTAATAACAAGATTAAGTTGGGTTTGCGATGTTATGGCAAGTTAAGGATCAATTAGGGTTTGGGTGTACTTTTTACAAGCTTATTTACTCAATTATTGGATCCGAAACTGTATTTATCGGATTCTAAAAGGACATCGTACCGCATAAGTATATCAGAATTTATTACTACGTGCCTATAAATGTAATGATAATTAAGCAGCTTGGCATTAATTTTTGAAGACAAGGAACGTTTTAAATATTATGTCATCTGTACGTATAATAACAATTTACAAGCAGTCCTTTATTTGTCTCGGTCCAATAAAACGTTTCGTGTTACGGCACAGTTAGAATCTGATGTTTATCTAAATGGTCGGCCCTAACGTGGGGTGTGAACTTTCGCCTTTTGCCTTAACAACAATTATGCTGCCCCCTTTGAAAATCACTTTTTAGTCTGATATGCCATGATCACTTCACAAATTATAGGCTCCATAATAGAACAAATGAGAAGAGCTGTACTGTTTTTTTTTACAATATTTTTACACTACAATTCTTATTTTAAAGACACAGATCATAAAAAACTTGAATTTGGAACAAAAAAGATATTAAAAAGTTTCTTTCCAACACATGATACTTACTAGGTTTTTGTAAAAAACAAAAGCAAGATTTTTTTTTTTAAATGGTCACGTGATGTCTTCAATTTATACGTCGACAAATTACCTTACACTAATTATTTCACTTTTAACTACACGTCGTAACTCACAAGCAGGCTAATGTGTTTACAAACAATTAAATTTTTAATGTTTTAATTAATGTTCTTACAATTAAAGTCACTTTATGAAATTGGACTATGTTTCATACATTAATCCGATGTCTGTAGGAAAAAAAGGAACCAAAACGCAAAAGGAGGTTGTAAACCTGTCTATGAAATCTATATCTTTTTTATAGTTCTGAATACGGTTCAATATTGACTACTAAGCAAAATTAAAAGAGAATTTCACTTTAAATAAAGTCACAAAGAATCCACCGCTTGGGACGTTAATAGTTCAAAGATCCATAAATAAATAAACTATAACGAAGATATGAATGAAGATGGACACGTCACAACTACTGATATATGGTAAGAAATAAATAAGAGATGACGTGATAGTTACCAAGTTCGACGGCGGCTCGGACTCGCTGCAGGGCCATAGTTTTGGTAACGGCGAGCCAGCGATCGATCAGCGGCTCAAACCACCTGCGACCACAATAACATTAATACAGAGAAAACTGTGGAACCTTATCTATTTGCTATTGTTATGCTATGACTGCTTTACTGCTTCATGATCGAATGGTAAAATGTTTGTGGTGAGTTCTAATTTCTGAGTTATTCCTGTGATTAATCCGAGACTATTGTTACGGAACTAAGTTTTAGGTCCCAAACGGTCCCAAAGGAATTCCAAAAGGGAACATAAGAAACTTTCCCAGAAGAGAAGATCCAGAAATAGAAGAATATGATTTAGCTACTATAAAATAAGTTATAATAGTTACGTTTTAAGACTGAAATTTCATAATCTTGACCGATAACAAAGTAATTATTAATCCAGCGATGCAATTCAAGATCTCATTCTAGGCTATTTACTCGCGACCGTTGAACAAGCCGTTCATTAGACCACATTTACGCTCTGCTACTAATTACCACTAATTACCAAGTTGTGCAACATGAACACTGAAAGTACTCTTTCGGTTAATCCGTTCAGTTTCTGATAAGACTTGTTAATTAACAAGACTTTTGAAGCTCAGCGACTTCAACAAACTTAGGTATACTTTGAGCCGAGGTTTAAAAAACCTTTTTGAAAATTTTCGAGAAGACTTTCTTTGTAACGACTTGGTAGGTACGAGAGAATAGATTTGTACGAATTGAAAGTTTGTTTCGGAGTCAGGACACAACAGCTAAAAATAACTATAGCTTGACAAGGGTATTGATTATGCTCATCGTACTTTCATTCCGCGTTCGTAGTCGATAAGGGTTGGAATATAAATCATTCATTTTTTCAAAATAATTAATTTTACGTAATACTCATTACGTACACAAAGGCACATTTTTTACACACACACACACACATTTTGTCTTTAATTCATAATTATATAAAATAAAAAGATTTTATTACGGGGAACGTAGGTACAATAGAAAACAAATTAACATTTTTAACCGTATTGTTTTAAATCTGTTAAAACAAGTATCCTGTTGAGCGAATAACAATTGGATTTGACATGCCTCGTTATCGCTTACTTGATTAATGTTTTGATGCCGACAGGAAAGGAAAAACAGAAAGAAATTTCGAATCATAAAAATGAAGTTATCAAAATCAAATATTCCAATTTCGTTTGAAAACGGCTGCCTTTTGTCACTGTGTTCGGATTTTAATCAATCATTTGTCAGTGGCACTCTGTGTGGCAGCAAACTAGAAACCAGATTAACGTTAACGGGCGGTTCATACGGCGTGACAGATCAGAGGAGCTCGTATTACCCTGAATCTATTAGGTGCTGCAGGATATTCGAGAGTTTAACACATAGTGACAGCTGTATAAATAGTGACGCAAGCTTACCCGCCGTGCCCTATCTGGAATATCCAATAATGTAACCAGTATTCAAAGTAAGACAATAAGACATACACTAACAGTTTGAGAAGCTTAGGCTCTACACGTCTGGGGAGTTATTGTTTGTAGTTTAATAGAGTAAACTATTGAATATTCTCAAATACAATAAAGCACTAACCACGTCATAATATGGAGGGATTGCCTATAAACTGTCTAACGTTGTTTATGTTTCACATATGATAGCCCCGATTAGCGTAGTCTAGAAATTGTTTTAGGATTTTAAAGAGACATACAGTTTTTTAAAAAAATGTTAGACTTGGGAAAATATTTATCTAAATAATGTTGAACTTTCAAGTTATCAGTTTTTAGTCCTATCCGCAGAACCTAAAAACATCATAAAAGTATTTCAATCCATCAATGGATTAGTTTGAAGATAATTGGCAAAGGAAAGTAATGTAGATTGGGTTATATAATGAAGTAGGTACTCACAGGTAAGCGTCGAGTAGTTGCGGTGGCGGGTCGTGCGGTGCGTGGGGATGCGCCTGCGGTTGCGGTGCGAGGGCGGCCGCAGCGCATAGCTCGCGCACCGCCGACAACACTTCAAACGGCAGCGTCTTAGCTATCGTCACTAGGCACACTAAATAACAGAAAAAACTAAATTCATACTATCGTATGAAGAACGGTATTAAGTATACCAAACAGTTACCTTGTTATTGTTGAATCACAAAACTAAATAAAAAAAAGCATGTGTACCGTCCAATTGAGAACCCCCCCTCCCCCCCCCCCCTCTTTTTGAACTCTTTTTATGTTGACGAGACAATAGTAGTAACGTAGATTTGTATTATAAATATGAAGATAGGAAAGCGGATAGCTTTGTTGTTTTATATTGTGTATATATTTTATTATGCAACATTCTAGTAGCGTCTAATTTCGGTTTGTATTTTCATATGGATTATTATAATACATGGTTTTCCATATTACTGAACACATTACAGCAAATATTGTAGTATCAGCAAAATGTTTTAATAATTCACTTCGAAAGATGGCAGACACCAGATGTTCCCATAATACTTGGCTCGACTTCAGTTTATTAATTTACAATCTAAATATAGATAAGTTTAATGAATATAGTATATACTGGTGGTGTTGACCTTTCGAAGCCTTGCATATTTTTCTGCCCTTTGCGAGTAAATATTTATAGCAGACGATTTTATTTCAAAACTTTTTCCGCGAAAAAATATTGTTGGTTTTTACAAGTTTTTTTTAGTACAAAATTCTGAAGTTCCAGGAACCAATGTATTTACGTAGACGTATTTACTATGTACATGTATGTGTATTGTGTATGTGTATATGAAATCCTTCGAAAATTGATGCTTTACGAATTGATGACTGAAGTATTGAATTTTCGTTTTAACGACTTACTAACAGATTTTGGTCTAAATAATCTAGTAAACATGTTTTTACTAAAAACTAAGTACTTACTACTTAGTTTTTCGTAAAAACATGTTTACCTATCAAAAATAAACATTTCTAAAGGTTTTTTTTGTTAAAGTTTACTTAGATAGATCAGAGTGTATGTATATTTTCTATAGACGTTTTATAGATAGTATCGACGTGTCATTACTTGGGTACAGTCTGGGCTCACTCATGTAAGAAATGGAATACTCTCGAGGGATTCGGTGTCGGCCTAAATTGTTGGGTACATCGTCTTATCTTATATCAGCTTGCAACTATCTTGAGGAAATATTAAGAAAACATAAACATGGTTTATCATACACAATCATAGTGGAATATATTTTATATGCCCGATGTAGGTAAGGTCGTGGTGGCCTGGCGGTTAAGGCGTTTGATTCCTATATTAAGTAAGTACCATTGTGACTTTTTCCGAATTATATGTACGTTCTATGATCATTTAGATACCACCACTGACATATGGCGAAGGAAAATATCGTGAGGAAACCAGGACTTATTATTTCTGATTATAAGTTTGAAATTGGCAATCCGCTTTGAACAAGCGTAGTGATTATTGCTCAAACCTTTTCTGTGTGAGAATAGGCCTTTGCTCATCAGTGGGCACTTTTAGCTGAATGTGACAAAGATTTTTTATTGGTTAATCAGCCACAATTTCTGCCTTATTCTTTGTAAAACGTCTATAGATTTTCTATACCAACATATAATATTTCATACTCAAAAATTTATCTATATAAGTATTACAATAAAGTAATGTATATATATATAACCTATAAGTTTTTTATCAGAAGTAAACACTCAGTGATTTTCCTCCTCTCTCACATAATCTTTATACGCTGTGTCCGACAGGTTCGAAAATAGTGTCCCTAATATGCCCCACACACATACATAATTATGTATGTATATACGTAAATGTATATATGATTGGAACGTAATGAAGGAATTAAGTATTGAGAATCCTTTAATGAGACATTCAAGACATTATTCTGTAACAAACATATTATAGTATTGTGCAATGCATTTTGTTCTATGTAAACTCACCACCGTTTCCGTGCTCATCGTACATCGGTTCTTCGACGACACCACACCAGCCTTCCACCACCCAATGTTCCACACATTGCCTCACATCCTCGGATAACTACAAAATAAATAGAGTTGTGAAAACTTGTCGAGATAATTTGTATTGTCTGCATTAAAATAGCAAAAAAATACCAAAAAGAAAGAAAATGGCTTTTATTTTTTAATTGTTCTCTTTCACAAGTCTTTTTCTGTGTGAATCACGAATTAAAGACTCTTTTGTAGTTACGAAATAACTATTTTGCTATCATACGAGGGAATGTTCCCTTGGGAGCCGGGCCCGGATATTATTACGCAAGATTAATATTGACGAAGGTAATTTTTTATATTCATAGATTATAATTTACGTACTTAAAAACTGAACAGCTTGTAGGTACATATACATGTATACCTAATCATATTTAACTGGTATGACCTGCATTGACCTGATTCATATAGTTATTGAAATATGCAACAAGGACTGAAGATAAACATACGGTTGGTGGGAATTTGCAGAGGAATGCATTTGTTTCATTAATTATGCATTGTGGGAAGCTCTGTAGGAATCGCTTTGATGAGGTGAAATGTGTTTTTCATCATTTTTTATAGTGTGCTTTTCATGTTTTCCTATAAAGATAAGTACTTAAGAAACTTGTGTTGCTTTTAAAAAGGACATAAGAAAATCTAAATTAGTAACAGTATTAAATAAATGTATATTGGGTCACCACAGTGTTCACACGAGTGTGATATGTCGATGTTGGTTAAAGTAACTGGCGAAACTAAGCGTTGACAATGATTGGCCACGAGTGCGGCATCCCTGTAGGTGTCAGCTGTACATAACAACATTACTCACTTACCATTTTGTCTATCTGTGTGAAGACTATACTGAAGTACGGCACGTTATTGGTCCTGCAATGGAAAGACATGTCAAATTCTGTAGAACGGGAAATATGAACCACATAAAACGCTCGGGACACGCTCACTTCCCGCCCGCAGTTTCCTTTACGTAATGTTAGGGAAGAATGGGGGCACGGACGACAATGAAAACTCTGAACTGAACATCGGTAAATAAATATTGACACATACCAGCAAACCGCCCTTTTATTGCACTACAGTAAATAGCACTTATATCTTAATTAAATCAATTTGATGAGGAAAATTTTGACGAATTCGACTCAAGGGTCCTCCGTGGGGACCACTTATTTGCAATTTAGGCAAAGGGCTTGGATCCGGCTGTTAGCTTTTGAGCCGCAATTAGATTCATAAAAGAAATTTGTAGCAGAATTATTGCATTGTATAATTTCACTGAAATTTGCTGAAATTGTATATTTATCTAAAGTATGTTTTAGAACAAATTATATAACTGGAAGAGTTCGCTTCAACAATCACTGACAAAAGTAACTTACTCTTAGCGAAGGTTAAGATAAATTTCTAATCTAAGTAATAAAATCTTACAACAAGATTTAGGTCAAATTGTTGTGCGTAACTTTTGTAGACTAAATGAAGGAAGGTGTTATTACTTACATTTCGAAGAGTGGATGGTAGTAGGTGAGGCCTTGTTGCAGGTCGATCTGTATGAGAGTGATCAAGTTGACGAGGTCCTCTCCTCTCTCGGAGTGCGTGTCCTGGCCACACAGCGCCTCGTACCACTCGGATGTGCCCTTGCGGAGAGCAGTCACTATCTCGCTCCTATTGTGTACCGTTATTGTTTGAGTTATTGGTCCAGTTACTGTCGCTTTGTGTCTACACTCAATTTTAGTGCACATGCGCCTTACAATAGAATATATTGTTCAAAGGAAGCAGTTTCTATGTGATTTTAAATGTCACTGGACATCCCAGTTGTTGTTAAATTGAACTTTGATATGTATCTAAGTAAGTATATATTTTAATAAACTTTTTATAACGCTTGGAAATCCTCCTGTGTGTTTACAAAAATACAATTTCACATACACTCAGATTATAAAGAACAATTTGGATCACACTAAGAATATTTCCGTCCGAGAATCGAACCCTCGAAACTTTGTACGACATCTGGTAGAACAGCAGCCGCGTCAACTGTGCAGTCAATCGTAAGTTAAGCTATCTTTGAGTGTTTTTAAATTAATTATAACTTCAGGTAACCTATGACCGTCTCGTTCAACTAAAAGTTGAGCACACTACTCGTATATAGTTTGGCAATCTTGGAGTGCTTTGTAATTCACTGATAGGTTTTAGAGAGAAAGTTAAGTTTGAGTTGTCACTAAAAAGTTCTTTAAAATTACGACAGTGATATTAAGGATTGAAGTTGGAAAATCTCGGAGTTACCACCATCATAATATACCTGCGGCATAGACAAGCTCTTCTTTCTCTAAATTTTAGCAAAGTATCAGTTGGTTTCTAGTCATTGAAAAGGATTAAGAACTGGCTTCTGCAAGCGGCTTTTCCTGCGTTTCGGATGAAACGTAGTCTATGCATTATGCATTGGATCTCTGAGTCAATTGTTATTAAAATACATTTAGTTAAATAAAATCCATTCAGAAAAAACAAACAAATATCTATTCATACTCACAAACCTTCGCGTTTACTCATATAATATTAGTGGGATGTTTGATAATTTCATATACTGCCACTTATAAGTCATGGGCATTTTATTAAGGTTAACTAATAGGCATGGAGCTGGATGCGAGTGGCCGAAGATCGATCCCAGTGGCGTGCAATAGGAGAGGCCTATGTCCAGCAGTGGACTGAAAGGGGCTGATGATGATGATGATGATGATGATGAACTAATAGGTATTAACCTATGAAATTGCTGTTCTGCAGTACTGACCAGTACTGTAGAACGGCAATTCCTATTATTATTAAGAAGACCTATTATTAATATAAAACACTCAATGAATAAATCTGAACAATACTGTAGAAAAGTAATTCACCACTGTTGTCCTTGAAATTACAATGATGGAAGATACAACAAAAATTCAAATCTGGCAACACCACACAGTTTCATTTTCACAGCTATTTAACGTACCCATTTGCAGAGGCAATTATTTAGAAAATGCTGTGCTAGATCCTCTCCCCCAACTCATTTGGCGAGGGCAAAAAGCTGACTTTAATCTCGCGAAAAATACTCCGGGAACTATGAAACCACGATGTACCTTCCGAATAATTTACGCTTGTCTAATGTCTCTGTTCCAACTTTTTGAAAGAGTCTTAATTAGGTAAGAATTACTTTCTTCGTTACTACATACATTATTTATGAGGATACTACATGTGTGGATTGTTTTATCTCGATCCTCTTCTAACTAAAGTCTTAGTATTTGTATACTATCTACCCCAGAATTTTTACATATTATTATATTTTCTGAACATATTATTATATTTCCATAAACAATTGCCAAATCAATAAGGCAATAAAAATAGATACACTTATTACGAAACATTAAAATGATTTCAAGTCATACTTGGGAAAAATGTATCGCAAAATAAACAAGTTAAGATTATTTTCGGAATAAGTTGAACAAGCCAGATAGCTGATACAAAGTTATTTAAGAGTTATTTACAACGTAAATGTCATTGAACAGAATCGTTCCACTTGCCTTATTTCCTTGTTAAAGGGACAGCAACGCCAGAAAGCCTTCATTTGCGAGAGCTGGCTCAAACATCGCAGAAGATACTCCAACCTAAAGACAATAACTCAATTTAAAGTTAGCAGATCCATTAAAACAATGCGGCTATACATTTTAGGGGTCAACTCAATTCTACGTAGATTGTACTACAGACTCAACTAAATGCCATTTCAGAAGGTCGCTTTATGGATTAATTGACAATGAGAAATTCATTTATATGTGAGGAGTAAACAAATTTTCGACTACAGTTACTATTTAGGTTCGTACCCGAGGGATGCCGGCCCTAATTACTAATACTTGCTAAAGCTCTGTTGTCTGGCCCTGTCTGGTGTTAACGTGCCATTACAAGTCACAATTGCCAGTTTTTAACAATTCTCGAGGCGAATAAACCGGGCTTGTCGATCGATGAAATAAAATATTCTACAGCTTCGTTCTGGCCCGATTACATGATTTTAAATAGCTATTCGCAAAATGTGAGCGTAGGTCGATACGTTTAAAGATTAAGAACTAAAAATAAAACCATTCGTTTAGAACCAATAAAAGGCTATTAAATGGTCATAATTAATGTAAAACACAGTTTTCTAATACTTCACCGCGTCGGAACGAATATAATAAAGAAATGAAATATTGTTTGTGCTTCAAGTAGGTAATCTTGGAAGTGGCCACTCAACCTAATTGGATAATTTTTTTCACTTTGGAAAGTTTATTTTCTTCCCAGACATAGATCAAGGAAGAATGTCGAGTGATGTGTTGCTAAACATTCCTTAATAGGGATCAATTTTGGTTGATGACTTGATTGATTGACCCTTTTTTTAACGCCTCGTATTATTATGATGTGGCATCATTTGTGGTGTTACTTTAAAATATTTTACCTCGTTTATGGATCTTGAGGATAAAATGTTTTATGCGTGGATTGTATGAATACATCTATGTTATTAGTAGAAAATTACAGCATTGCATTGAGACTATGCCTTTTGTTTTTTATTTTTTCCTCACTACATCCAACTTGATACATTAGTGCGGTACATATCATAGGCATGTGGTTAATTCCTGAATAGAAACTATAATCTGTAATCGATATTATACGAGTAACAGTGAGCGACAATGGTATTCAGTTACAGTTCTCCACAGAAGCAATTATTAGTTTATACAAGCTCTATTATACAGATATTATCTTTCAGTTCTGCAGTAATTACTTTACCTTATTACACACTAGTTCCGATGAATTAATTAATGTTTAATTATATCATAGTGCGCTGTATAATTATTTAGTAAACAGGTTGTCGGACAAAATGTTCTAGTAATTTATGATTTGCTGAATATATATAGTGGGTACTACCTGAGCTTAGGTGGTACCGTGTAATTAATATTCTATATAAATCATACGTAAGTGACATTTTATGTAAAGGTAAATTAATGTCGTCAAGAGTCCGACCTGGGTAGGCGTTTGTTTACCGCCTCAATCAATTATTCCAACGCCCTAAAGATTACAAGAGTAGATTTTATTGTAAACTTGTCAAGAAACACGACTGTTAATATGTTTAGTTATAAGGTTTATCTTGCACGCAACACTTAACAGCCAATCAACTTTCAACTGGTTATTGGGCTATAGGACGAAATATGTTTTCGGTTGATGTGGTGTGGATTATTAAGTTATATATTTTGATAAATCCTTGATACCTTCAAACTAAATAGCTCAATCGTAAATTAAACTTAGTATTGTTATTTTCTAGTAACCTGATCAAAGAATTGTATCGTATTTAGTTAAACAAAAATCCTTTGAAATAGTCGCTTCATTAGTAATTCAGAAACGTTTTCATTAACGTTTTGCACCAAAAAGTATTGCAACCTATCGTAATCGCCATCGAACGTAAGGTCTTAATTTTGTTCGTAGTGTTGAATTTCAAAGTACGGTCGGAATAAAAGGCTTTATCTAGACAGATGCCACGAGCACAAGTAAATCGAATCTCGTGCGTGTAAGAGCCCGCTTTGAGCGACTAAATAGGAATGTAAAGTACCATTCAATTCCAATATACACTGATAAAGTTTGGTCTTCGAGGAATGTTTTGAAAATAAACGTAGCCGCCACCCACCCGATGGTTTGTTTATTTTTATTAAGTACTGCTTTGAGATATTATGAGCTCGTCATGTGGAATGATTATATTAAGCATCAAATGTCAAACAAATATCAGCTCGGAAATATAAATATAAGTTTACTATTTTAGGCTGTTATTACCATGTAGGTACTTTACTTGCGAATACATAAATAATATATGTACCTAATATGATAATATGCCTTTGTTTACTAGAAGCGCCTCTCTATGAAAAATAAAAAAACACAACGTATTCGTCTTTTGAGTATTTTTAAAGAGTAAAATAAATCTATTTCTTTTTTTCTATGACTTACTTGTTGATACTAAGTTGGTGCAGCACGGGGTAGAGGTCACGATGCAGGCGCAGTTGATGTAGCGCCCGGTCCACATACTCGCCGAAGCAGTCGGCGAGCCAACGCTCCTCGTCGCGGGAGGCCCCTGAGCCGGAGTCACCGCTGCCACTGCCAGATATAGCCTCACAGGCACACCAAGCTCGTTCCAACTCTATTAGCAACTTGTGCATGTACCTATGACAAAGGGATGAAGTTAAGTCAAAGTTCAATTATTGTACATATGAAGCTAAACTGTAAAAAATCTCCAATAGACTTGTTGAGACAGTTATAGTTTTTACATTTTCACAAGGTTCCACTACCAGCACGAAATGATCTTGTATTTTTATAGTGTTTAAAGTTTATTGTGTTGAAAGTTAGAGAGATGTGTTTTTGCCTGCACTTCTGTGTTAATTAGTTCCTAATATTATAAGAGTTAAAACACTTACTTAGGATCAAGAGGCGCATCGGCGTTCAGACGGCATGCCGCAGCGAAGCGAGCAATAGCCGCCTGTAACGCGCTGAGATCGCCCTGAATAGCGTGCTGGTGTAACAGTGTCTGAGCTGCTCCGCACAGGTCTCCGTCCCATGGTGGCGTAGGTGTGGTGGCGATCTTAGGCTCGGGTTGCCCCGGAGCCGCGGCAGCTCCTGCCGGGGCCGCGGCCGCTGCAGCAGCGGCAGCCGCAGCAGCTGCAGCGCGCTGCATCTCCACTTCATGAGCCAGCAGCACGCCGAATAAACGCTCGTGTTGACGCACCTTGGTTTATCATTGTTATGTACTACACAATTACTAAATGATGCATAAAAATACTTAGAAATAGATTAAGTAACTTCATCAGGACCTTTTAGAAAATATGTACTTGTCATGTAAAGATTTACAATATTAAAAATAAATGCAGAAAGCCGTGCCCGATTGTCCTTTGCTTTTTGGGTTAGGCTTAAGACCCTTTCAATTTAAAAGAGATTTCTTAGGAATAAATAAGTCGCCAAAGCTAAATAATAAAGCGGCCATGTGAAAACTTTGAAGCGTACAAAAGCCAGTACCACTGACTGAGTCACACCGAAAAAAGCACCTATGAGGAATAAATTGGATTTATCGTGTAATCGCAATTTCGCTTCAGTCGCTCGCTCAGTTGATTACTCGGGGCTAAAAGAGATATTCAGTCACTGAATACTTTGAATACGTTATCGAGATACTGAAGAAATCTTTATCGAGACTAAAATATTCTTAAGTGTAAATTCATTCTTATACAAGTTATTGTAAATATGATGTGTTTGTGTACGAAAAACCGCTACGTGTTTGCGCATGAAATAACGCACTGAACTGTTACTTTGTTTACGATCTCTTCTATTGAAATAATTTTATTTTTATGACTTTATAAGGTTAGACGCATAATTGAGGTTACTGAGACTCATACAAAAGTGGTGACAGTTTTAAAATATTACTCAATTCAGTATTCCGATAATAAGTGGGTACATACGACACTATTAATGAATTTTTGATTGCCTTCAAAGATGATGTTGCTAATTTCGGTGCTAATAATAAAGGAATATTGTCGATATCAGATAAATCTATATTGGTTACGGGTTGTTAAGCAAATAAAAGAGGATGAATATGATCCAAAATAACAACAAGGGCGATGGAGCGTGGTTGACACGCGGGTCGGCCCTGACGATAGCGCTATATTTGCCGCTACACAAAGCCCTTCTATACGCCTATACATCATCTACTAATGGTTCACTGCAAGAGCCAATAAAACGCTTTACGTAGAATGCACTACATGAGCCATATCAATAATAGATCGAGGTTACAACGACAGCTATTCATTTATACTCAAGCTTATTAAGGATACGTACCGTTATTATAGGAACTGAAGTATAAAATAAGGGCTAAACGAACGAAAGAAAATCATGTCGTAGAATTATTTTATGACATTTCGACGAAAAAATGCTTTGGTTTTCGATTTCGCGTCCGTTTTGTTGGACTCACGGTGTACGTATTCGGTAGCTACTGTCCAGTAGTGAAACATACGCCTATCGAAAAATTACTATACATTTTTTCATTGAAAAAATTACTTTTGTAACTTAGTTATCTACTTGACTAACTATTCTCAATTCTCAGAATAGCAAACTTTAAGTAGTTGTTTACTTTAGCCCAAGCGACAAACTCTCCTCTCTGAACTCGGACTGAATCAATGTGCAAATGAGAAGCATAGCAGTTTCAATTGTAGTTTAAATGAAAATGTCATATTTTTGTCAAATAAGAGATACAGAAGAAGGTATATTATTATTTATATTTGTTTGAAATAACAACACTAACATAACAAGTAACTATTAATTTCAGTTGAAACATTTGTATGACAACAATACATTCAATAACTTAAGCAAGAAAAAAATTACTAAAAATAAAGTAGTACTTCGTGTCATCGCGCAGATGACTGACAAAACTAGTAGAGCTATTCTCAGTGAATTCACCTGAGTGCATCGTTATTTTGTAAGTAGTGTCTAACTGCAGTGTGATTCTGTAAGACTTCATTCTAAACTTCGAATCTGAATCCGCCGTGAGTAGTAGTAAACTAGCGCTACACTTGCGAGTTGAACTAAATTGACAGCATCATTTTGAAAGATAAAGTATGAAATGACGTTAAATGTGGCATTCAAACATTTAATTTCCCCGTCACTTCGACGCTCATTTCGCACTCGAACACGATTCAAAATCAAACAAATTTTATAGAATCGACGTGCTGTACATATCAGATACATGACCCGCAAAAGACAATGAGCGAATATTCATGATAATCCAGGATTTACGTCGGTATTGTTACCTGTTGCCAGTTGTCATCGTCATGTCGCCCTGCCTCCCTAGCTGACAGCCACAGTCGTAGGCGAATGCGGCCTTGCACGGAGGATCGCTGTGATCGAGCTTCCAGTTTGTACCAAGCCTCGACACCGGTCGAAGGGATCTCACGAAGCGGGATGTTCACGCAACCTACACAAAGTGTAAACCTTTAATAAAATTACATTATAGGTACTGTGTTTTTACTTTCTGTAGATTTGGTATATTATTCTCGAATGTTTCAATGAAACTTATGAGACATGTGTTAAACAAACATTGAAGTCAAAATAAAAACTACGACCTTGGTTGTATGTTCAATGTATACAGGTCTAAAAACTGAATAATAACATTTTTAAAATATTATGTAAGCGGTGGAACGTGGTTTTGAGTTTGATTGGAATCATAAAAATTCATCTTTATTTTTCGAAAACTTATTTAATTAAATTTATTGAATGCAAAATTGCGAATAAAAAACGGGTTTTTATTAAATTAGAGTCAGTAAGATTGATGATAATAGACTTGAAAGTTAGTATTAAAACCAAAACCACATAAACGGTCTTAAATACGTGCATTTTTACGTTTTCAATGTATTGTCAATCCAAAAATCAAATCGCAAACAGGTTTATTATAAAAAGTATAAAAGCCCTCAAATCACGGCATCGTTATTCTAACGAGATATGAGTGTATTATAATAACACCTCCATATTTTATTTTAAACTTAGTTCATATAACTACCTACCTCTAATCAAAAAAGTCAAATGATGTTACAGAAAATTTTAATCAAACGCAAGCAGTATCAAACATGGCATATTTTTAAATCTTACTTGTTGTTCTATTTGCGAAGTTAACGAAGTTATGTTTCCGTTTCAAAACTTAGGAATTCGGAACATTTCGAGTGGGAAAATATTTGTTTTTATTTCTTTCGTCGAATGCCGTAGAATGTTGTTGTACATATTTATGGTGTAAAAATTTTTTGTGCATTGAAGGTATAAGCTGATTACGTTCACAAAACAAATGGAATTGAATTAATGCATTAATATTTCGAAGCTTGTTTCGCTTGGCAATTTAATTAATGTATGTACCTGTCATATTCTATAAGTCGAAAAGGATATTAATTTGGTACAATCGATTTGATTCAATTACTTGAATACCTGCATGTGAAATATTTTTGTGAGGGACAACATTTGAAATTAATAATCGTTTACATTTTTTTTGCTGAATTCAATATTTGCTTTTCATACATTAACATTACACGAAAAATGCTGTAGCTAGAAAAGTGACTGCAAAGCAATGTCGCATTTTTTAATTTCCACCTTAGTAACATACTTTTATGATCCACAAATAGTTATTCCGGTATATGTTATGTATATGTTATTGTTATGTCCGGTATACGATATAATATGTTGTGATGAGTTTGAGATTTCTCGTTCATAGTCTACACATAGATATTTATAAAAGAAAGTTGTGTTAGTTACACTATTTATAACTCGAGAACGGCTGAACCGATTTCGGTGAGAATTGGTGGGCATGTAGTTTAGAACCAGAAGAAGAACATAGGGTAGGTAGAGTAGGATGGGTAGGAAGGTAACTAGGTAAGGTAGTGAAGGTAGTCAAACGTTGGGAATAAAGCCACGGGTAAAATTTATATGTCTCGACATACAAGAAAATCCACACCAGACTCATTTAAGTCTGTTATTAAAATAAAAAAGTACTTATTAATATGTCAACAAACAGTGAGTATTCATAAACCATACACGAACCGATTCCACTGGCATTCGTTAAAATATTGCACAGACAGATGGTCTTTGCTCTATCAAATTGTGATATACAGTTTTTCGATGAATTCACATTTCATTCCAAAGCCCGAAAGAGATTTGAAAATGTCAACATTGGAAAGCGGGGTTTGCAGCCCGATGCCATTTTATTTTGCATCGCTGCGTGGGTTCGGCTACTCGTTTCAAAATTAATTAAATAATATCAATAATCCTATTTATTTTTAAAGGTGTGTAGTAATACAATACGTAGTGTTCACTATAAAATATTTCCATTGGAGGTAGTTAGCACTCGCTTTTCTATTCTACTTAAGGTACGTTTGTAGTAAAATTCTTTCTTGATGTCTTATTAATAGTGTATAAATTATCAAAAGTCTAAGAATTAATACACATTACTAAGACTAAACTATCGACAAAAGGTTGAGACTCAGAGTATACACAAAGTACATAATTAACATAAAGTATACACGAGTTTCAGTATCAAGATGGCTTAGTTTCAGTAAGCCATTCAACGATTCTCGTCATTTGACGTCAAAGGAACACACACACTACAAGAGCAATGCAATGTTATCAGATTACTCCCACTATCATAAACAGATTTATGTGGTATGAGTGCGTGAGTGTCGCGTTGTTTAAACATTGGCGTAGGTACAGCGGTGGACATAAAACAAGGGCTCATTTCACAATGTTTGAATCAGCCTCACTGCTCTGAATGCAAGCAAACGCTTCGCACCTCTCATTCGAATACAATGTGCCCCTATTACACACATTACACATTTACATTTGTATGAACCAAGCTTTATTAGCTTGTAACAAAGTTTTGCGTGTCACCTAACCATAAAAATGTAATTTCTCAACTAACTGCTTCGCTCTATGTAAAATATTTTGGGGATTGAATAAATACAGTACTTTGTGTGATTAATGTTGATTGTTTGGCTTGTAGCCCACCAACTTTCTGATAAAAATATTTCCGTAATATCTATTCACTATTTAAGTTTTTTTTTTGAATTGTAACTGTCGTTAGTCATACTGAATTTATTGGAAATAACGCTATAACTCTACTAGTTTCAAGTCACAACGGGACTCTTATTTTTTCATAAGCAACGGCAATACAAGTTCTAATTTAATTTTATAGGGAATTTATATTTTTAAATATAAGTATGTTAATATTATTTATTTTATATCTTTATGCACAACAATTTTGTAGAATAGGCGAGCTTAATGCCGTGGGCATTTTCTAACAGCCAAACCTTGGATGATGCAGTTGTATTTGCACAAAGCAAGCATAATCAGAAACACTATCTATAAACTTACATACATTTTATATTATATATTTCGTGTACCTCCAAAAATGCTCCAAAAGAACCATTGTCTTTCGTACTAACCTATCATACGAAGTTAAACGAAAAGTGTAGCATCGGGTCGAATGTGGAAGTTTTTAGTATTCGAGTCAAGTCGAGATTTGGGAATCGTTATGTAAGTGCCTATAGCTATATCAGAAGCGACCGCCATTATTGTGCTTAGCTGGGGTTCGAGGTTTCATCGGATCGCTTGCGTCTATACATCGTACACAAATCAGCAATTTAATATCAAATCGAATGTTAACTAATTTCAAATCTCTCCTCAGTAACAGGCTAAAGCCCCTAATATCTTTTAATTCTAAAAGAAACCATCGAAATTAATGAAAGTTCACAGACATTGTCGAAAGAAGAAATTAATTGGTGGCCCTTGATATTCTTCAATTAGTTTTATGAAGCCTCGTAGCAGCTGTCTGCCATGATTGACTGATAACAAAAATAATTAAGTCTAAATCCAATCCAATATATTCGTCTAGTTGCCTCGTCACACGTGTCCATTAGGTTTCCTATCAATTATAGTTAATCTTTCTGCGTTGTTCATCAATCTGTCTAACACCCATTAGCATTAGATTTGCTTTGTGTAGTAACTAATATTAGCTAACTGCCGTTAGTGCTTGCATGGATTTAGATTTCTGTTATATATGTATGTCAATGTTTAATAGCAGTACAATTTGAGCAACACAGTTTTAACCTAACCTACCTCACCATCATGGTAGCAACTCGGTTTTCTTGACAATCCTTTCACTGACCAACTTACAGCCTGAATGAGACATTCAGCTATTCAATTAAATGACAAGTCATTCAGGCCGCTCGCTTGTTAGATACTGGATGGTTAATTCAACTATTTGGCTGCGATATATACATGGATATTTGTTAATTTTCAAGACTTTATGCCATCAAAGTATAGGGCAGAATTAAAAATATCTCAGCAGCTATTACATATGTTAACTTAGTCGAATCCAATTAAGAGGATGAAGCACAATTTCAATACTGATACAGAGAAAGAAAGATTCAGAAAAATGAAAAACAATAGTATTCATCCTGCACCACTCCTTTTTTTGTAACAATCATCCAATGACTTCTCTTGCCCAAGGCGAGGCGAGAGAGAGAGTCAGGACTCTTACTGACTAAAAATGTTCCTTCAGGCCGAAACCACGGTACCCTATTGCGTCAGCCTCGCAACCTGTACTTATACAAATTCAATCGTCATCATTTATCATCAGCCTATAAGTGCCCACTGCTGAGCAAAGGCCTCTTCTCATAGGAAGAAGGTTAGGGCATTAATCAAAACGCTTTCTCCATGCGGGTTGGAAATTTCAAACTTATAATTAGAAATTATAAGTCCAGGTTTCCTCGCGATGTTCACCTTCACCGTATGTCAGTGGTGTCTAAATAGACATAGAAAGTACATACAACTCGGAAAAAAGTCACATTGGTACTTGCCAGGTTTCGAAGCCACACCCTCATGCATGAGAAGCGGGCTCTATACCTCCGGGTCACCAAGACATTTGCTTAGTTTTGTCTTGTTTACATTTCTCATCCACTGAAGGAGTTATCTTAAAAATAAACACGTTGGAAGCAGTGCTCAGTAGTTGGTACCAAGTAAACTCAGGTGTGATGGGCTATGATCGCATGTCGCCTCCCAACAGCCCCAGGGAACACTTTGCAAGTCAAGACAACAAAACTAATAAAGATCTTATTTGTTTAGCTCTTGTTTTCCCAGGCATCCGCGCTTCAATAGATATTCGTTTTGAAATGCTTTGGGATTGTATTGCAGAAAGGTATTGTAATGTTATTCTGTTTTAGACTCAATGTAATTGTGAACAGAGTAGGTTTTTGTTTGTTCTTATGAAGAGATGTCTATGTAATTTAAATAAAGTTGATATTTGTTCGTGAAGCGAAGTCGAGGAGAACGTTAGATGTTATAATAGGGCTTGTGGATTGCGGGACTATTGCCAGGTATATGCTTGTAGCTGCGGTTAACCACGTCAAGTGTGTGTGTGTGTGTATAATATAAAGGCGACTAAGTGTTTGAACTTTGTTACAGATACATATATTTTCGAAACAATCCCTTTACCCTTTGACTGGCGACAGAAAACAATTGAAGGCGAACCCTGGGATTCCGTAGGTCATTGGCGACCGACGTAGTCGTTAACATTATTTAATATACAAATGTTAAATCAAAAGTTACTAAGTGCTACGCTTGAAATTATTATTAATGATATAAAGTAGTACGCCTCTCACTAACATAATAACATATCCATCTACATACAGTCTCATTAAAACATGTACAACACAAGAACTCATTAGTGGTTCGGATAGTTTGTTCTCGGAAAATGCAATACAAACTGCATCAAGGATAGTTTCAAGTAAGTTATCTTCATGAATACCTAACTCAGTAATTACTTGCTCTTAATTACTAAGCTAAAATGTCATCAGCTGTATAATACTAAATGTGATACGTAATAATCATACCAACAAAAAAAAAAATGTTTAAAAACAAAGTATTTTTTTATGGAAAAGGAGGCATACGAGCAAACGGATCACCTGATGGTAAGCGATCGGCGCCGCCCATGGACACCTGCAACACCAGAGGAGTCACAGGTGCGTTGCCGGCCTTTTAAGAAGGAGCTCGTTTCTTGAAGGTTTGAAGGTCGTAATGCTAAAACATCCGCCTCTTTACTTCCTAACCAAATGAAAAAATCAGTCAACCAATAAATAAATTTATACATACCTATGTACAAACAATTTTTTACCTAACTCAGCACCCATGTTGATAATTTTAATCTAGGTCGCATTTTATGTTCGTACAAACGAGATTACATACTCGAGTCGAGGGTTACGGATTGACCGTTAATCGATTCAAAATTAAATCGGACAGAGTAACTACGTTAATATCAGGTACCTGACTCAACCTCGCCTAACTTGTAACATAGAATGTTAAATTGTGCCGCAAATTAAGCACGTAACTTACTAACTTAGTGTGAATTTCTGAGTAATTATTTAACCAAAATTGTATAGTACCTAATGAAGTCAAATGTTTATGTTTTGTTTCAAGGCTAAGGTCCTTCTTAAGGCAGAAATTGGGAAGTAATATCTGGTTGATTGGCTTGATTGGTGGCTCTCTCGTTATTCAGTTGCAGCTCAAACTTTTCAATTATTTCTTAAAAACATTACATCGCATTAGGATATTCTTCTGTATCGTGGTTACCATTTACAAACATATTTTTTTTTATAAATAATCCAAACCCGAAACAACAATTTGTGGATCACTCAGTGTTCTACCGTGCGCGAATCAAAGCTGCGACGTTTTGCGTAGCCAAAACTTGTAAAAATTCGACGTTAAATGTATTATTTGCGGATCATGTAAATAGGAATTTCATTGTCTAGTTTTATTTTAAGTATGTAAGTACTATTCGTATGTAAGCCTATTAGAATAAATAAAAAAAACCTAATAACAATAAATTGTAAACGTGCTCTGCTTCTTCCTTTAGGGATAATAAGGCATGCCGTTATATTATAGTCTTTATGTGGTAAGGAACAAGGATAAACTTTTCCATTTAGCAATAAGAAATAATTATCATCAATCATCATCACCCTAACACGATATTTGTGTTGAGTATTCTCGAAAATTATTATCGCATTTGATTTTTGTTGTGTTTTATGAACGTTTTGACCTTCTTCACCGGGGTTATATTCTTGTTGGAAAATAAATGTGGAATTTTAGAAATCAGCAATTGCAGTAAGTCACATAGTTTTTTCTTGGTATTTTGAAGCCTAAGATGATGGAAATATATGTTAAAATACTGTTTACTGTTTTAAATACTGTTCGGAATAAGCATCGTTTTAAAATAAATTAGAAAATATAGAGATAAAAAAAGATAACAGTTTCAGGATAAAATCCTTTTTTGATGAATGATGATGATGAATAATCACAAATGATTTGATGAGGATGAATAATCACAAAATCCTTTTTTTTCTATTACTTTATCTTGTTAACCTGTACAAAAACATTTTTATGACTTCTATTCATTACGACTGTTATCAAGAATATTGTTGAACGAATTCAAAGATTACAAGACATTTTGTATCATTTCTCTTTGAAGTTACATAAGTACTTATCAAACCAAATCTCGTCGACTTACTCATTAAGTTTAACTTAAATCTCCGGTTTTACGAAGCCTTTGAACTTTGAATTTGACAAAGTGGACATCTTTAATAAAGAGTCTTTTAAAAATTCCATCCGAAATAGGGTCGTGGAGGGCGGCGAGACACAGGGAGGGTGGAAAATAGCTGCGATATTTGCATAGTAAATTAACATATCACGTATATTTAGGTAGGTGTAGTAGCAGAAGAAGCGTAATATATTCTTTTTAAATAACAGTGAAATGATGGTAACTATTACTAGTAACAATAAAACTGTCCGGTGGCAGCGTGCAATTAGCGTTCCATAGACTACTGAATAGAACGCGTGCAATGGTCATAAACAATATTGAATGTTTATTGTTATGCAAAAGGTTTTACGTGGATATGAAATATTTATTTTAACAAACCTTTTTCCGCTATTATTTTTATTATTTCGTCGAGTTAAAAATGCATATTAAATATGTAGGTCACAAAATAATAGACTTACAGTATAGCTAAAATAGAAAAAAAAATAACAATAGTAACACTAAATATATAATTTTACAGCAAAAATGCCTTCACTGTGTTTTTGTTCGTTTTGTATAAACAAAAGATATTGTCAATTTTCACCGATAAATCTACTATTACAATAGTAAGTACTTATTTAATACTTTAAAGTTTTAATAACGAAACTTCATAAGCTGAAGTACTTTAAAATAAAGATGATTACGGAATAACTTAGGTTTACAGGTGAGTTAGTCTATAACAATGTAAGAGGGAAAGAAAATTGTAACTTTTGATTAAAATTACAACTTACCCAGAAAGTCGTCCTGGCTGCCTTGACGAGCGCTCTGACAAACTTGTTTGAAGAAGCGACCGAGGCCTCGAACTCCGCGGACCTCGTTGAGCCGGGACACGGCATCAAGGACAGAGCTTTCGTCGTCGTGGTCCCATATGTCCAGGTGCAGCACGTCCGACGATATGTCATCGATGTCACTGCAAGCGACTCAGTGTTATCACTCTTGTATTGTGAAATACTCATTTCAATATTAGAACACATATTGTTTTTAAACACTTACAACTTGAAAGTCTCGTTCCATTTAGGCGACAAGGTATGTGGCCGCACGCTAGTGGCTCGTATGTAGCGAGCGGGCAAGCGGCCGAGACTGTCGCGCTGCTGGCGACCATCGCGGCGTTTGAAGCTCAGCCTAAATCCATGCTTGCGTCCTTCATCCTCAGAAGCACGAGGAGAAGCCGGCAAAGACGCCGGTTGTATTCCCAGCATGCAGTAGGGATCACTAAATCCTAGACGGTATAAGGCAGCGCCTTATTTATACAGTATAATTCATTCAATACAAACATCACATGTGAAACTGAGAAACCAGATGGTATTTACAAACATTAAAGTTTCATAGACGAGCGGTTACGACATTTCGATCGTAGCACGTAGCGAGCTACGCCGTAGCACGAGTAGTACGTATAAATAAATTGACGGTGCTGAGATTTTCCTGTTATTTTTGTGTATATCTGTCATAGTACCATCTTTTTGTTACTGTAATGTTTGTCAGATTTTTAATGGCAGACGGTAGAACAGTTGTAGGATCTGCTAAGTAATTGCTAAAAGTGGTTCAATTTTAACCAAACGCAAAAGCAAAATTGTTTTATTTTATTGAGTCTAAAGAAAACTAATTAAAATGCCCTGTTTGCTTAGTTTTTACTGCAACTCCGAATATGTATATGCTCTGGAAAACTCAGAGAAGCGTAATTGAATACCTTTCAACTTTACTAGCTGTTTGCAAAGCTGTCAAAACAAAGTTTGAATAGAAATTTGATTTTAACTTTTGGTGGCGGTAGCATTTATTTTATGGAAAATGCTGTTGTGTATTAACATTATGTAGCTAATGAAATCGAAGGCGTTCCGAGATGTTTCCGTTTAATGCATAATGATATCATTGGATGGTACAGTGAGTGATGTTTTAGTGCGTTGGGTTGCGATCGCTCGGTATTTCAGCGGCGGCCATCGGTTTCGCGTAATTCAATATAACAAGCGTAGCTGACAGCGCCGCACCGAGCACCGGCAGCCTCACTATGCGCGCCGCAGACCTTATTTGTTACACAATTTAATTTTTATTTTTCCAACGTTGACGTCGACGCAAACATTTTAAGCTATTTCCGCATTTAGTCGCCGCGATATAATAATGTCCGGGATGACAGCAGCGAATGTTTATATAGACGTCAAATGTGCACAAAGTATACGACGGACTATTACATTTTTACTATACGTCATTTTAAACTAATATATGTTATACAAAAGTAAGCAATTTTCCAAGTAATGAAGCGATCTAGAATACAATAGTTACAAAAGACATAGTGAGCGAATTATGTAGGAGCTTCATAAGACATGAAGTGAAAAACCACATTATGAAGATTCCAGAGTTGTTTTATTAGAACAAATATTCTAAATGTCACACCGAGTGATTCAACCGAGGGTAAGTCAAGAAATGTATTCAAGTCGACACTCATCATTTATGAATATGATTTAGGGGCACATAAAGGGACGACGTGTGAGCAACAAGCGAGCTCTATTAAGAGGTGTACTTTCCTCACCAGGTTTAAGCTCGTGAAATTAGATATATAGGTTGTTGTTTTAACTCTGGTTGTGTTTTGAAGCCACATTTTAATAATATACATAGAAACTTAGATGACAAAAATTCACGTCTTTTGCTAGGATCATAATTCTGTCTGGGTATTAAAGACTAGCTCACCATTAGCATCTTTGGCCTCAAGTCCATCAGCTTCGATAACGGAGCAGCCGAGCACGACGGTAGGCGGGCGCTCGCTGCCCGCGGCACGCATGGCACGCGCGTGCATTTCAGGTGACACGCGGAACGCGCGGCGTGCATGTTCAACCACCTCCTCCTTATACGCCGCGAACTGACCGTCCGGGGCCGGAGCGCCCACTGCGTTCTCAATACAGTACAGCACCTATCGCATACAAATAGAACCAATGAATGTTAGCACTAAAACATTAGGGGGACCACGTGAGCCTCAAAGAGACCACCACAGACGGGGCACTGTAGGATTGATGTTCAGCCGGGCTTGCGGGTCAAGCGCAATGAGGCACCGCAAACCTCGGCGCAGAGCATGATAAGGAACGAACGGGTTTTTAGTCAGTTAGAAGAAGTCATTTGATGATTTTCCTCTCACAAAAGAAGCATAACAATTACAAATTGACAATTGTATAATCATCCGCGTTGAAACGGAAAGCACAGATGTTAAACATATTCAATAGCTATAAATAACAACTATGACAAGATTATAGACAACATTAATCAATATATGTATGTATGAATATAGCCCGGAGTAATCTCGGCGACACCCACGCACACAATCACAGATGGTCTTTTCATGTCTATGTGGTTAATAAATACCTACCTGCAAATTGTATCAGATCACATCTATGTCGGCTGATTTGATCCGATATTGTATTTTTTTAAGGTAAAAATATCATATAATAAAGAGGATATTCGCTTGAAACGTGCTCACGTGCTGCCTACATGATATTAAGTATTAGCTTTGCAAGACTTTGTGAGGAAAAAGCTGACGTGACGGAATGTTTCGCAGGAAGACAACTTTGCATGCTGCGAGATAGTTACGCAAGAGACCTAGTATTCAATTATGGTAGATACTCTACGTGCCTTTGTTCTTGCATTATTGTTTTATTGCGGTGCAAGTGAGGATTTAGTATGTGATTCAGAAAATTAAATACCTACGTACACGTACACACAACGAACAAAATTATATAGGTATACTTTTTTAAAACATTATTTTATTCTGTGGCAAGAGTAAAATCTGCACTGAATTTGCTCTTATTAATCGCAATTAGAGGCCTTTTTATGTATAATTATAATCTCTGAGAAAACGGTCGAACAATTCATGGACCGGTTTTGGCGACCTCGTCATCTTCAATCATTCAACGTCTCGCAATCGCTATTATTTATTAACTAGATTTCTAGAGAAAACATTTAAGATTTAAACACAAATTTTCCAGACCTTTTAAATGTTTCGTTACTTTTCGAAGAAATCTAAAAATCTAAAATTTTAGTAAATAAATAAATACACTAACTACTGCCGCGCGGTTTAAGCCACTGTCCGCTAGGCTCCGAATGGTCGTAGGGTGATTTTTACAGTCTACAGCACTCAAGAACATTGTAATTTTGGAAATCCGACCAGCGGTTTCAATATTACCCCCTACATACAAACTTACAAAGATAATTTGAATCTTGTCATAGTTATTTAACCTCTTTATAATATTAATTAGCATAGATATCTAATAGTTTTAATTAAAATATATTTAGAAATTAAAATATTATTAATAAAATGATCAGAATACTTGTCCTCTGTCTTTCAATTGACGATTACCGCACATGCAAATTGGTAGACTAATACGCCATTTATGGCTATACCACCCATTATATGGCACAGCTAATGCTAGCGAATTATAGAGTACTCGATAATGAGAGATTCATTAGCTTTTACGTAGTTAATTCTAGTATAATGTCAATTACCCAATCTAAATGACACATATTATACGTTTGAGCTAAAAGGAATACTTTATTTCAATTATAAAACCTTTTTAAATTAATCCATTCCAATTTTAAAATTATAAACTTAGAAAGCATATATTATATTTCTCAATCATAAATACATATGAAACAAAAATAAATACAATCAATATTAATAAAAAATTGACTGTGAATGAATAATTAGGCCTACAAAATAAAAAATTTGATGCCAGAGACCCTGCAGCGTCAACCTTTAATATATAAGACAAAGGAACCTCATAATTTGACCAATACCAACAACGGTATTGTAATATCTTTGTGTTATGTAGATGTATACCTTCGTATAAATTCGACGTAAAAAGCCTCAGGTCCACGCACTTTCTCGGGTCACCTTACATTTTAATTCAACTGGAATTTATTAAAAAACTTAGAGAGAAATTAGAATTCACAATGGATCGAGAAATGAGTTTTGTGATACCCTACGTTCATTGTTTTTTTCTTTTTTTTCTAATAATGTAGATTATTACAAACTTTTTGGGAAGAAACCTAAAAAGAACGTGATTTCAAAAAATATTATGTTTCTTATACATTTTTCTCCTACGCTTTTTTTCGTATCGAAATTGAGCCATGGGATTGCCGCAATTTTGATAAGAAACATGCAAGTTGTACTAAAAGGTACTTGAGTTAGGAAATAAGAAAAGTAATTTATTTTTTGGAAATTTTGCAACAAACTTGCCTCAGTGTATAGATGCTCGTGTTCCTTGTGCGACAGTTGGGCTGACACGCTGGGGAGGCCAAGGTCATGGGGTGCCGGTGGCGCCCTCTCCGACCTGGCTTCGACAAGCCTCAACGCAGCAAGACGTCTGTTCTCGTGCCGCCATGACAGGGCGGTAAAGTTCTCGAAGTAAGACCCGTCCGTGTCTTGAACCCTAAACATATAATAAAGCAATTTTAGTTACTAATGTTAATGAGAATGTCTTCATAGTGTTGTATAGTCATAGATTTTCCATAATAATATATATCCGTATAAATTAATTCCTTTTTCTACAAAACTACAGGTTATCACTTATACGTTTCAAAAACTGAGAATTCATAGATCTGGAATCCAAAACCTTAGTGCGTTTGCGAGGTCTCAACAATGAACAAGGGTTTATACTGAATATAAACTAATTATACATTAATCTTTTAAAACAGGGTCAAAGCGATAGGGAATATATTTCTTTGAACGTATCATAACATTGACTACAAAGTCAATCTACCTAGTCCATTTCAAAACTAAACGTTACTGGTAATACTAAGACCGGCCGGGTAAACAATACGTCCTTCAAATTCAAATTACGTATTTTGTTTACATAGCCATAGATCTTTATGTCTGTTGTTACCCGGGATGAACCTATACTATCTAGCTAGCCTCGGAGAACTACAATATCGATCAACGAATAAATGTAATTGAATATCTTTCTTAAGCAACAAAAACATAATAATATAAAATGTATGCAAATACCTACGTTTCTACTTCTGTAAGTTCTGGCTTTGGTTTTTAGTGAATGTGTCAGTTTTAACTACATCTACATTAAAAGTAAAAGTAATTTTAGTGTAAATGAAAATTTTCATTTAATGAAATTCTTAAACGTTCCATCGAATGCCGAAGACTTTATTTGTTCAGAACGACTGTTTCACAAGTCTAATTATCACGACTTAAATTCGTTAAAAGAGCTTGTAAATGATTTAGGAGTATCTTCTAAATGTCTATAAAAAGTTACTTGAAATTATTTTATTGTATAACAATTTGGTGAGTATAAATTTCTCTATTTACATAATAGCCGGGGTAGCCATGATCACAAATACTACTTACTCGGAGTATTACCTCGTATTTACTAGGTCCTATATAAACATCTTTATTTCGTGATTCGGTCGTAATCCCTAAATCGACCCAATGGACTATTTATCACGTATTTCGCATTATTTATTTACTTTCATAAATATGAGTGCGGTGGCACGGATAAGATTCTGGCCAAGTAATATTAATGGTAAGCGGCTGAATAGTCGCCATGATTGGCTTGGCTTGGCTTTGTAGCTTAAACTAGTGACTAAGAAGGATGAATATAATTATTATTGCCTGAGCAGTGATTTATATGAAATCAGCAAAACAAATTCTTGCAAAGAAATCAATACATTACTCGCTGGAAACAGGAAACCTCTTGTAGCAAAAAAGCGAAAAGGATTTTAGCACTGCCCCTTTTAATGGGGTATTACGTGTCATGTACATTTACCTACATAATATATCTGTTTAATGAATTTAACCCTCGTAGGGTAGAGGGCACATATTTACTGATTCCAGATTATGGGCGATTCTCAAACAAATTGTACGCGCTCCGGAAGTTTTCCACTTGTGGTCACCGTTCAGGTTAACGACTATATAGCCTATTTACAATAAATATAAAGTAGTGGGATTTTTCTTCGAACTTCGGTTTTTCTTCGAACCAAAGATATATAGGTAATGGGATATTTAGATGTCGGCGACAGATACATGATCGTATCAAGAATTGAAATTAAACAGAAAAGATTATTTTAGAAATCATTAGCAGGGGAGCACAGTAAAAGAAAAAACTAAATATAAATGCATTATTTTTGTTTTAAATACGCTTTAGCTACTACCCTCTACCTTAAAATATTATACATTTTTTATAATACTTATAATTTTGGACTATCTGGTGTAAAATTTCAAGTCACCATAATTACTGAACCACTGTGCTTTTATGGATTTAGGAATCGAAATTTCCAATACTTTACGGAATCTAATCGAAGCTAAATTATACGTACGTACCTTGCAACTCAGCATTTGCTATTTACCCATTACGACCTACGTAAATGGCGCAATAACTTTACTTTTTTCAGTAACATTCTGCGGTACGTTGACTATCTAACCTCTAACCAAAAGGTAGGTTAAAAGAAAGTATATTTTCTATGCTAAAATCACAACATAATTTAAAAAAGCAAGGAATAGACAACGTGTTTATTATGTAACCTTTTCACAGGTTACCGCAACTCCCGTGGATAAGGAGAACGAGCATATTCCAAATCTATCACCCAATATTCTAAAATCAAAAAATTCTAATAAGGCCTTTTTTGACCCAATTACTCGTAAATAGAAAACGATAGTTTGGAAATCGCTTAATCACACAAGGCGATGTGTGATTCTGCACAATTGGCACGGTGGCTGGGCAACTGGCTGCCGCGGAATGAGGCGCGGGTATCGAAACCCGCACGGAACAACTCTTGGAGTGATCCACAAATTGTTGTTCCGGGTCTGGGTGTAATGTGTATGTTTGTAAACGCACCCACGACACAGGAAAAAATCCTAGCATATCGTTTACAAACATACACATTACACCCAGACCCGGAACAACAATTTGTGGGCAACGTTTTTTCTAAAGAAAAAGAAGAAGAAAGAAGGTGGTGTTAAATAACAAGTACTCAGATATGTACATACATACTATAAACATTATGTATAAACCATTACATATTTTAGTACAAGTTTACGATATGAAGTAATAAGTAGCATTGAACTTCAGTCGGTAAAGGTGTTGTGATTTACCGTCGAAGTGGAAAACAACAAGTTGCTGCTGATTGATGTAGCCAATCAATACTAGGGCGCGGAGCTTTCCTGACACGCTCACTGGACTCCAAACACTGAACACTGAAACTGATACTCACGGATCCGTGTTAATATAAAAAACAAAAATTAATTTTGAAATATTTTTTGGCGTGTTCCGTGAAAATCTGTAATGAGACCGGCTGGATATTTTTAAGCTTTTCCATTAGAGATAATAAAATTTCATATTCTCATTTATTTTCAAAAATATTCGCTTCCGTAGAATACACATATATAATAATTATGTATGTATGAGTATACTTAAAAACCAAAATGGAGTTTTCTTGCAAAATGTACCATACACATAAATATTTCCTCAAAACGAAAATTTGAATGACCTATGAAACAGATGCGAATTAACATATCTTTCCGCGAGGAAATGGATTCGAAACACGTTTGGCAGAGGCTGAATGATAAACATTAGGTATTTACCATTCTGACATGAAATATAAATATAACGCCTTTTATTCATATTAATAACTAGGGTATTGTAAAACACCGTTTTTTAATACCTACATTTTAAATCGATGTATGGTATTTTCGTCAACGAATTCCGTTTCTTGGCGACCAACACTAATCTTCCAATCTTAAATAAAAAAAAAACATAAAACAAAAAATATATCAAACAGTAACAATAATTCTTATATTTAATCAAAATTGATTCGGAACCCTTTTCGTAACATTGGATCGTGTAACACAGAGGTTTTTATTTAATAGTTAGAGGCGTGCCGGGTTCAGGGAGGGTACAATGGACATAAAGGTAACATAAAGCTAGTCCCACGCGTATCGGAAACGCGTGACATGTGCGTGACGGTCAGTTTGCTACTACTCTTACACATTACTCCGCGATACAACATGGCGGGACGTGCCCCAACTTTATTTAACGGAGTCTGGACGAAACAACATATTGAGCTCTCTTTTTTATGTGTTACATAAGTCTAGTGCTTTTTTTCATTCGATTGCGGATCATGGGGCTTCAGACTTGGATTACTTGTGCTCATATGAGACTCCTGAACTTAAAGAATGAATTTATTAGAAACTATTTGTGGATTCGAGTTTCAACTTCAAGTATGTCTGATGA